CTGAGATTAAAGTCAAAATTCTGAGATTAAAATCAGAGTTCTGAGATTAAAGTCAGAATTCTGAGATTAAAGTCAAAATTCTGAGATTAAAATCAGAGTTCTGAGATTAAAGTCAGAATTCTGAGAAAAAAGTCAGAATTCTGAGAAAAAAGTCTGAATTCTGAGATTTTTCACATGTTAAACTGAATTAAAAATAAAAAAATCAGTTAACTTTTTTTTTTTTCAGTGGCCCTAATCCTCTTCCATAGTTGTTGGATATTAAATACTCTAAATTCATGGTCTGCAACAGGCATGTGGAATAATCAGCTCAGATCAGTCAGTGGGTTTTCATTAATCGTTGAATAACAAATAACTTCCCTACAATAGTATAAAAAACTAAATACTTCCAATGTATGCGAATATCAACTGGTATTAACATCCAGTGGGAATTTGTTCATCTTCTCCACAAAGAATCTTTGAAACTGACTTCATAGTTTCTTAGTTTAGCATCAAGGCCAGAACTGATACAGTTAATTCAAACCACGGATGGCTCTGTGAAGCATATGTACATATGTTATGGCTCTATTTAGCTTTTTTCATAATCATCTCATAAATATTTATGAAAGAATGTGCCCCACAGATGAGCGTGGGCTGTAATGGCTTTTTCTGTCAGGAACTCATTACTCTGACATTTTACTAATTATAATAATGCATCATCTTGACTACAAAAATGCATAAGATGTAAAAAATGTATAAAAATGAGTTGTGCTATAAGATTTGAAATCCTGAAAATAATAAGAAAGCTTTTCCTGCTTTCTTTTACTGTATCTTAAAACTAAATTGCACTATATATACATATTCTCTTTCAGCGATAAATACCAGATTTGTGCTCTGCAGTGCAAACCTTTCTGGAAAGTTGGATTTTTCTGATCAGCATACTGAATAACTTAAATCTTTTTGAACCATTCTGCTTCCTCTATCTGGTGTAAAAACCAGCACATGATCCTATGAATTAATAATTCACTGAGGAGGGTAAAGTGGTACATATATCTTTGCTCAGTGCGGAGGCTTTTGCACAGTCAGATGTAACGCTGCCACATTTAGAGACAGTGGATTACAGCCTTTGAATTCAGGGTGGTAATGACCCCAGAGGAGAAGAAGGCTGTAGAAGTATCTGTGCTATTTTTGATTTGGAAGCATGCAGCCGTCTTTTCTAATACATTGTTGTGAAGTGGAATGATTTATCAGCCTCCTGCCCTCTTGCACAGGCCCAGCTATTTAAGAGCTTCAAACTCTGGGGAACTGTCTAAAATAAGCAAAACTAGGTTAGAAGAGCAGCGGAAATGAAGACTTGAAAGTTTGCACCCTATACTGTGACTGCAGTTAGAAATCTGCCAGGTTCTGGTTGGCTGACTGCATCCCAAACATCTCCACACTGAGCCCTCAGCACTATGCATTATGTAGCAGCAAGAGTAACCGTGTATAGCCAGAGCCCATATCCAGTCACTCGTTTGTGAAATGCAATCTATTGTCTTCGCCTACAAGCACACATGCCACAAACCCAGACAAAGTTGTGAGCACACATGCTGATGCCCTATTTGTGGAGGAGTGTCGCTATCAAACCGTTGCTCAGAATTCAACAAGCTGCGTGGACTCGGTCACCGTAGCAGATCAGCTTACTCATGAGCAATTTATCATTAGGAAATAGGACACAGTCTGTACTCCTTCTGTTCTCTGCTTTAAAGTCCTGCTTTTGTTAAACATTTCTCTTGCTTCTGTACCAGTTTTTTGACCCGGGTGAGGTGCTCTACGCCTACGACAGCCCTGCAGGTTACGGTCTGATGAGCCTGCAGCTGGTCGCCTATGTGTGGTTCTGCTATGCCGTGCTGGTCTCCTTGAAACATTATCCCGAGAAGCAGCCCTTCTACGTCCCTTTCTTTACCACATACACACTTTGGTAAGACAGCTTCCCAAGTTGTTGCTGACTGTTACATGTGAGTTGGGAACTGCAAAGGGAGAAGCATATGTATTTCCTAAGGAAATGTAAATTATTTATGAAGCTCAGTTGAAACAAAAATTAAAGAACATAGCGGGTGCTTTAGGTGAGGAAGTCCCAACTTCATGCTCTTTTTATGTTGCAGATAATTATTCCCAAATGAGAGATTTGTAGCTGGAGGATATATACAGTATATTTATGAGCTGCACAGATTTCATGTGTCAGAATATTTCTTCACTGCCTCATGTTCCTTAAACTTTTTTTTTATATTTGGTTTCCTTACAAATACAAACGTTACTGTGTTTTAATGAGATTTTATGTAACAGACCAACATACAGTATTGCATAATAGCCAAATGGAATGATAGGGATATACATGTTTGATATTTTTTTTTACAAATTGAGAACTGTTAAAAAATTTCAGATTTACCTCCTTAAGTGTCTGTTCTTTGTAGAAGCTTTTTTCTCTGTGTTCCTTAGTCTTTCATAAATAACTTACACACATAAGGCCTTTATTTAATAACTGGGGAACATCGTATCTAGGACTTCAACTAACAATTATTCTGGCAATAGATTCATTTAATTTTGCTAATCAATTATGCTGTCCATTGTCTTTTTTTTTTTTATATAATAGTGATTGGGTAGCTAGAGGTGCTTTGTATGAGATTTATTTACAGAATATGAATAAGATGAAGCCAAAACTATGCCGGTAGAATATAATATAATATAACAGAATAGAATGAAATAGAAAAGAAAAGAAAATCCCTTTATTGTCCCACAATTGGGGAATTGTGGTGTTCTCTATAGAGCTGATTTAATGTCTTGCAAACTGTAAATACAGTATGTTGCAGTTTTAGCTAAATTACTGCTATAGGTTAGATGTTCTTTTAGCATGCTGCATGTTTTAAAATGTTTATACTCAGTGAATATTCTGTTACTAACCTAGTTCTGCAATTAATTAATAACTGTTCATCAATTCCTCCTCTCAGTCCTAATCTTATGGGAGTTGAGTGCATTGGATTTTATGATCTATTCTGACAAATGTAAACCCTGCATTGTTCAGATGTTGTATATGTATAATTTCTTTACTACTTTAACTATGCAGTCATTTGTGTCATATCACATAAAAAGAAATATACACTCACCGGCCACTTTATTAGGTACCCCTGTCCAACTGCTCGTTAACACCTAATTTCTAAGCAGCCAATCACATGGCGGCAACTCAGTGCATTTAGGCATGTAGACATGGTCAAAACAATCTCCTGCAGTTCAAACCGAGCATCAGTATGGGGAAGAAAGGTGATTTGAGTGACTTTGAACGTGGCATGATTGTTGGTGCCAGAGGCTGGTCTGACTATTTCAGAAACTGCTGATCTACTGG